AGGCTGGTTCCTCAGTCGATGAATCTAAATTTCGGGGTATGATTGGTTCACTTTTGTACCTAACAGCAAGTCGACCTGACATACAACAGAGTGTATGTCTATGTGCTCGATTTCAAGGCAATCCTAAGGAAAGCCATTTAAGTGATGTTAAACGCATATTTAGATATCTCAAGGGCACTTCTGATATAGGACTGTGGTATCCCAAGAATGAGAACTTTGATCTTGTGGGATATAGCGATTCTGATTTTGCTGGCAGTCTTATTGACAGACACAGTACTTCAGGCAGTTGCCAATTTGTTGGAACATCTCTTGTGTCTTGGTCATGTAAAAAACAAGCCACTGTTGCTCTTTCAACAGCGGAAGCAGAATACATTGTTGCTGGCAGCACATGTACTCAATTGCTTTGGCTTAAGAATCAACTTTCGGATTATGGTCTTGTTGTTCCTACTATCCCTCTGTTTTGTGACAACACGAGCGCTATTTGCATTTCTAAAAACCCAGTTCATCACTCACGAACAAAACATATAGATATAAAATATCATTTTATTCGTGAGCTGGTTCAAACAGGCTGCATTGCTCTTCATCACATTAATACTGAATATCAACTTGCAGACTTGTTCACCAAACCTTTAGGGACTGATCGATTCACTTTCCTTTGTCATGAAATTGGATTGCGATCTGGTCAATCCATCTCGAATTTTTCGATACCTTAATGGTATCGTGTCTTTCTTTTTCTGTTTATCTTTCTTTCTGTTTTTTGTCGTTTTAGTTTCCTTATTTGTTTCCCTCTGCTCCTGTGTTTTTGTGTTCCTGTTTTATTGCGTTCTTTCCTTTCTGTCTGCCTGCTGTGAGTCTATTTATTTGAGTGTCTCTGTCAGTACCTCTGTTTTTCCTGCGTGTGTGTCTTGTTGAGTGTGTGAGAATCCTCCCTATCTTGGCCTACTCCTTTGCTCTCACCTACTCTGGAACCTTCTTTCATGATCCCCTTTACCTCAACTATCACCGTCATTCTCAATCTTTTGCTCTGCGTTCTATTTCCCCTGCCTTCCTTGTTCCCTTCCCTGGTCTTGATGTTCATGGTCTGGAAGTTCGCCATTGGGTACGTAACCTTGGCTGGGATTTTCTTCTTGAGAATTATCCTGCCTTGATTTGTCCTGAGGCAGTTCGCTACTTCTTTTCAAACCTCCGGTACTTTGGGCTGCAATCTCGGACTCTTACCTCCTTGGTCTTTGGTCATCTGATGACTCTCCCTGCTGATGATATTGGTCGTCTTCTTGGCTTCCTTGCGATTGGAGAAAACCTTGCTCACGAATCTGAGCTTCCTCTTTTCAACTTCAACATTGCTGAAGAAGCTGTTCAGTTGACTGGACATCTTCCTGATGAAGATTCGACTCTACCAGTGGCGATTCTCCTTCCTTCCATGCGAGTTTTTCATTTCTGCATCACTCGTGTGTTTGTTCCTCGTTCCACTAGGCTTGATCGTGTCCTTCCTTTGGATCTTTGGATTATGGCGCATGCTGTTGCGGAGGTACCCCTTGATTATTCTCATTTATTCTTTGGGGCTGTTATTCCTTTCATTGATCACAATCATCCTGCCCCTCTGCCTTTTGGTACCTTGATCACTCGTTTGCTGCTGGCTCTTCCCATCAACCTCAATTCCTACCGGTTTGAGTCTCCCACTCACTGGTTGACTGTGGACATGATTCTTGATGATCTGGATATTGCGATTGAGGGAGAGGTGAACCTGATTTGGATTAGTGACTCAGACTCATCAGACTCTGATGATTCTGGCGATGGTGATGCTCCTGAAGATGGTGATGCTCCTCTTGAACCTTTTGCTGCTGCTATTCAGGAGCTTTATGGATCTGATTCGGATACCCCCAGTCATTTCTCTGACTCCCCTACTATTGCTCCTCTTGAAGATTCCTTGTCTAGTGAGGCTGATTGATTAGCAGTGGTCAGGACGTGAGTGGAGAGTTTTATGGTCTTAGTTATTTAGTTTTCATTGATATTCTCTGGAAGAGTTTTGTTGCTGGATTGTTTGCTCTCAGGGAGAGCTGTGCTGGGTGGTTTTTTATGTCTGAATGATGTTCTGCTGGTTTGCTTGCTCTCAGGGAGAGCTGTGCTTGGTGGATGTTTTTTTTCCTGAATGATGGTTTTTGTTTCCTATCTTTGCTGATATGCTCTTGGTAGTGGTAGTTTGCTTGCTGTTCTCTGGATGTTCTTTTTGCAGGTTCTTGTAGCAATCGACAATATCATACTTAGGGAGAGATTGTTGAAATGGTAAGTCTGATTTGTCAATCTTCCAAGACCGTTGCAGGATTGCTCAAAGAGGGAAAGTGCTTCATTTTAGCTAATCTTCTTGATTCTCTCCAACGGCTAGTTCTTCATCTTTATATATAGTTTGAGGTTTCCAGGATTCAACTTACTTTTGTGGAAAACCAAAGCAAGAGGTATAGGTCTGTGCTTTGAGTTACAGAAGGGTGAACAGTGTATGGGAAGAGGTTCTATACTGTGGTGGCTGAACTGAGTCGGGTGGTGATTCAGGAGTCTTTCGATTTATCTATTTGTTCATTAGAGTCTTTGTAATTGTGTCATTTGATTAAAAAACATAAATAGAGTCTCCTGGGATCTGTGATCCTGGGACGAGGAAGTAACCATTGCACAACGGTGAACCTCGTTAAAAAGATCGTGTGTTCCTCTCTGCCCTTTCCTCTGTTTTGATTCTTCGCTGCTCTCTTCATTCTGCAGTTTCTGTTCTTTAGCGAAGAACAATATCGTGTTTGGTTATGATGATCAGGGCCTAATTGATCTTCAGCCCAGTGCCTTTAGTTGTTGGTCTTTCGGCCCATTTGGCTATTTTGAGCCCAACGGAGTGTTGAGGTCTCGAGACTAAAAGACTGACTCTTCAGTCATCTCCTGTCGAGACATCCTCCTCAACTCTCTCCTGCTCAAATCAAATTCCCAAATCCTATTATCCATCTCTAACCCTAATTCGATTTCAGGTGCTACCTTTGGGCAAAACAACAATATATATGCGATAAATAATCGTAATTGATGCTCAAAATAATCATATAATTGGTGATAGACATACTCAAATTAGATATACTTGCAATCTTTGGATATACTAAATATATCTAACCAAGCACATCAATTTACCACAATAATGTTCATGAATTATAAAACGAGCAATCAACCTTTGGGCGATTCGAAAATATTTTATAATCACGAACTTCAACTTTAAAGCATCACATAAACATTAGTAGTTGAACTTGATTCAACTTGATATCTATAAACCTTCTAATTTGGCCACTTTGGTGACTAACAAATTAATCATAACATAGATATCAAAAATATAATTTAACTCAAGTCAAAGCAACTGATCAACAAATTAATCATAACATAATTATTATAATAATTACTTAACTGATCAATCATCAAACCTACTGATTAAATATATATAATGACCATCAAGCCAATAATCACAAGAACTGTGCGCAAGACCTGTTTCAACTGATGGAATTTGACAAGCATAATTGCACCCACATAAACGATAAAGCAAGAATGGCGATAATAGAAACCCTACAGCCGAATTGAAACCCTAACAAAGCAAGATTGGAATTCGACAAGCATAATTGAAACTCTACAACCGAAGCAAATGGCTCTCATACGCAGAGCTCGGCACACAGATGCAACGGAAATAAAATACGTAAGCGAAAATCATCTATTCATGTAAACCTAAGGCTCTGATACCACATGTAAGCATAAATCATAATAGCATGGATCTTAGAATTAGATGATTTCACGAATCGGTAATAGATCAAGGAAACCTACCTCGATCCATGAGGAGAGCGGCGGCGGCGCTGGAGTAGTAATCACCAGAATTGAGTTTCTCCCTCTTGACCCCTTTAGGTTTTAGGTTTAGAGATTTCTGTGATGGCTAAGAAATTCTGCGTAATGGGTTGAGAGATGACCAATCCTAGGGTTTCTTTATATAGACCCACCATCAGGGTATATTAGGAAATTACCTTTTTCATTAACCTAACCAATATACGACTTACCTTATATATTAAACCATTAAATGATAATTACACTTGGGCCACAATTATTCCCTAGTGACCTACGGGAATTGGGCTTACAAATACGGGTCCGGATAGTATAACAACACCTTAAGTGTTGTTATAATAACAACAGGATTCATTAAGGGTATAAGGGTAAATATACTCATATATTTAATGAAATAAATTTTTGAAAACAAGCTACGGCCCTCAACACCTCAGCGAATCCACGCTCGCAAGGGCGCGACGCCTACTTGGCCTACATCTCAGAAGGAATTCGAAGTTCGCAGGACTGGGAAACCGCCATGAAATTCCAGAGGCAAAATGGGTCCCTCTTCAACTCTCCCTCCGCCACCGCAGCAGCCTTCATTCACCTCCACGACCCCGATTCCCTCCGCTACCTCCGCTCAGCCGCCGCCGCCGGGAAGAATGGCGGAGGTTGGGTTGTGGACAAAAAATTATGAATTGTATTTGTTTCATCCGAATCGGATTAAATTTGACTTTCTTTGTGTGCAGTTCCAGTGATCTACCCGCACGGAATTCACGCCCAGCTCTGCCTCGTCGATGCGGTTGAGGGTTTGGGAATCGATTGCCATTTCGCGGAGGAGATTAAGCTGGCTCTGGCCCACATTCACAGGAGCTGGCAACAGGGAGAGAAAGACATATTCCTCGACCCCACGACTTGCCCCACGTCGTGGAAGGGGCCGTGACGGTGGAGGCCGTGGTGGTGGAAGGGGAGGTAGGTACGGTGGTGGGTCTTCGAGAGGCGATTTAGATAACATTGCCCTGCCGAACCAGGAATTTGGAAATTTGGTTCCTTTCGAGAAGAACTCTCTCCAAACAACCAACTCTCTCTCTCTACCGGCCATCGGGAAATCTCAACCGCTGGCCAAAGCCTCCATTCTATTCCCTTGCTTTTGTGATAATATCACCAAAATCAAAATGGCTATTACAGGAAGAGATATAGATCGAATCAAAGGTCCACGGAGCCCCGAGGAAGACGACAAGCTCCAGCGCCTCGTCGAGAAGCACGGCCCGCGGAACTGGTCGCTAATCAGTAAGTCGATCCCCGGGTGTTCGGGGAAATCCTGCCGACTCCGGTGGTGCAATCAGCTCTCGCCGCAGGTCGAGCACCGCGCCTTCACGGCGGAGGAGGACGAGACGATAGTATCAAAAGCATATATTTTTTGTTTTTGTTTTATGATGTATCAAAAGCATCCTAATGTTGAACATAAGTCTCGTGAAGCAAAACAGAAACACCACAAAGTGAGCCATAAATATTTTTAAATCACACCAAAAACCTTATTATTCAAACCATAACTCTCCTAAAACAAACCAAAAACACCACAAAACACACCACAAACTTCATAAAACAAACTACAAACAGGGTAAAACAAACCATAAAAAAGCATACCAAAAACCTCCCAATGCATGCCAAAAATTCCCTAAAACAAACACGAAACACCACAAACCAAACCACAAATATTTTGAAAACACACCAGAAAACTCATAATGCAAACCATAAACACCGTAAAGAAAACCACAAAAACAAACCAAAAACGTCCTAATGCAGACCAAAAATATATTAAAACAAACCAAAAATCTCACAAAGCAAACCACAGAATTTTAAAAAACACACCAGAAATCTCATAATGCAAACCACAAACACGTTAAAGCAAACCACAAAAACAAACCAGAAACCTCCTAATGCATACCACAAATCTCCTAAAACAAACCACAAACCCCTCAATGCAAACCACAAAAATTTTGAAAGCAAACCAGAAACTTCTCAATGCAAACCACAAACACGATAAAGCAAACCAGAAACTTCTTAATGCAAACCACAAACACGATAAACCAAACCACAAAAGGCATACAAAAATATGAGAAACCAAACCATAAATCTCACAATCAGACTATAACATCCGGTGGTCGTTGGCCGTTGACCGGTCAGCGAAGACCGTTGACCGGTCAACGAAAATCGTTGACCAAACTCCGATGACCGTCAGTTACCAGATTCCGGCGCCGATAGGCATATTCCGGCCCCGATGACTAGATTCCGATGCCGGTAAGCATATTCCGGCGACGATGAGCATATTCCGATGACAAAATAGCATATTCCGGCGACGAAAAGCATATTCCGGTGACCGGCGACCATTTTCCGGCGCCCGGTGACAGAATTCCGGCGACCAAATTTTTGGGCCGAAAAAATAAAAAATTAATTTTTATTTTTTTTATTTTTTTATTATTTAAACATATTTTTCATAATGACAATTATACCCCTGCTTTGATTTTACACTAAGTCAACTCATCTAATAAAAAGTCATCACAACCCTAGCTTTCTATTGGTTGGAGTCTTGGAGACTAGTGTTGTTACAATAACAACACAAGAAGTGTTGTTATAGTAACCGGTCCCTACAAATACTGGATGCACATGTTCTCTAAGCCTAGGAAGGTTTTGCAAATGAATGAACAAATCAACCATCCAAGAATATAAAAGGGGTCACAATTTCTAGAGAAAGATAGAGCAATAATAATAAAAGAAATTGTCTTACTTCGACACAACAAGAGTACTTTATTGACAAATTTAGTGATTTACAATGGATACGGATGAGATAGTTAAGGAAAACAATTTATAAAAAGAAGATTTTAAGTACGCGCTAACTTGTTACATGAATAAAATGAGGTTTTTCTACCAAAAAATAAATAAAATAAAATGAGGTTCAACATATTATTATGGTTCTTCGTTATCGGTATATGGCATCTTCTTCCTAGATGCTCATTTTCTATGGATATATAGTTTCGATTATAATTTGTTGTGGGAGATTTGAAATGAAAAAATTAATTTGAATTTTGAGACAATATTATTTTAATTTGGTTTTTCTTTTTTCACTTTAGGACAATAGATTCACATTTCGCGGGGTATGCATGAATATTTTTAGCATTGCACCTTGTTTTCATTGTTAGTCACTGTCCGTTGAGACGTCATTGCAGATCTCTTCGGTTCCAAAATCTTCACCAGCCATTTTTAATTAAGTGTGAAACAACAGTTTACCGTCTAAATGACTTGAAAATGTAGTTTGCTTACATAATTATATAACTGCACTACTGCTACGGATTGTGATTGAATGAAAAACAATATACCAGTCCAAGAAGACGAGAGAGATGAACAATTGTAGAAAGTGGGTTATATCAGCTATATTACGTCTTTTGCCTAAATCTTCTGGCAAAACAAGGACAATTAAAGAAATAATCTTTCCTCAAACCAATAATTGAAGTTAAGTAATGGTATTTGGCTATAGACAGAGACGAGGAGCCAGCTACCCCTAACTGAAGTAGGTTATATCAGCTGAATAATTATTTTTTTATGATTCTGAATACTGGTATGTACATTTGTAGAGAGAAATTAACATTAAAAAGTGGTAAGATAATATATCAATAGTCATTTATGTTCTTATTAGTTGTTGTAATTTTATTTTGGTGAAATATATTTGTATAGTCCAACCTTCGTTTAACCTTTGTGAGAGTTAGGTAGATCGCTAGTAAAATGATAAAATGATATTTTACCCTTTTAGCATCTAAAAAAGTCATTTTTCGAAGATATTTTAGATCAGATTTGAGTTTTTTTTTTTATTGACAAGAGGAGTACTTGTATTGCAATAATGTCAAGGTTACAAGGGTTGAGAACCACAATGAAAGCAGAAAACAGAGCAACAATGGAGTCAAATGTGAAAGCAATCTAAATCAAAAGAGAAGGCCAGAAACAGAACAGGAAGTAGATTGATCCCAACAAAAGAATCTCCACAAAAGGATGCTAACATTGAGAACCCAGAACCCCTTGCTTCCACAACATTCAGCACAGCACAAGCAAGGTTCCAGCTCGCCCGAAACCAGACAGGCCCATGGCTATTGAACATTGCAACGCCATAAGCCGCCACCTGGGGATCGTTCAGAGACGACCCATCACAGTGAATCTCATGGAAGGGATTACTCGGCGGTGGACAGGCTGAAACCGGGATGCTCTGAGCTGAAAAGGCCGAGGAAGCCGGAGGCACGGATGACCAGGAACCGGGAAAAATGAAGAATCAACTTCACCATCTCCAGGAAGCCAGAGAATCAAAACCAACGACACAGAAAATGACACCACACCCCACTTCAGTGGGAGGGTTTAAAGAGCGTTGAGGTTCAAAATTGTGGAGCCCACCAACAGAAAAACAACCAATTATCTACAAGGGATACAAGGTTGTCCGAGTCTACTGCGGAAAAAGCAATCCGTGATTTACAGGGTGGACAAAGTTGTGGGTACTGCTTTTCAAAAAGAAATTTGTTTGGTTATTTTTTATCATGTTTTATCCAATAAAACTCATTTTGGTTAAATTGTTGAAAGTTAGGTTGCTATTTGAAGACAAAAAATTATATTACATAAAAATTAATTTTAAATTTAAATCCAAACGGCAATATAAGGGAAACAAAAATAAAGGCTATGAATCATCAATTAATGTGATTCACCCATTATCTTCCCGCCCTATTGAGAAGAACAGGGGAGTTCAGAGTTCTTGCAAACCAAAAGCAAAGCATGACAAACAAGGAACCACAAATAAGTAAGAACACAATATTCTTTTGTTAATTGATTTTGACTTATTGCTTTATGTCTCGACTTAAAGGTGTCTACCTTTTTGAGATATAGTGTTCTAGGTTTTCTCTTATTTTATGATTCTAACTCTAAGTCGAGCTCTTTTGGATGGAACTCAAACTCGTTACAGAACTAGAATAAAAATTAGCTCACTTCTATTCCTGGCAAACACACAGCTAATTAAAGAGACGAATATTTTTTTTTTTTATGGGCAAGAGACGAATAATTATAACCCACAACACTGCAAATGTAAGGGAAGAACCACCCTCACACTTCTCATCCTCTTTGCTAATCACAGAGTATGCTTTTACTATCACTCTAGTCGCTCTGCCACGTCTAACTCCTTTTTATTTTCTTTGTGTATGTATATCTTTCTGCATGACAACTGACTTCTTTCTGATCATCCCTTCGAATTAGTCATGCTCATGCATTCTTTCCTACCATAACATTTCCATACAGTGACTAGTGATATCAACTATCAAGTAGACCGTTTTTGCTCCGACTTACCTTATCCGAATTCATATGAAAATAGAGAAATATTTTCCCGACATTCCTTGCCAACTTGAACGAAAACGAAAATGTGGAGCTGCGTGCTGTCAAGAACCAGTTGCTCCCAATAACTCGAGTTGTTGGGAGAGGTTCAATCGTGGATCTTATACCACTCTCTAACACGCCCCCTCAAACGAAAGCCAACTCATGGGGCTTGAAGTTTGCACAGGCCAACATACCATGTGCTTGAAAGATAACGGTTAATATTGGGGGTCGTGGAGATTCGAACACATGACCTTTCGGTTCTAGGCTCTGATACCATGTCAAGAACCAGTTGCTTCCAATAACTCGAGTTGTTGGGAGAGGTTCAATCGTGGATCTTATACCACTCTCTAACACGTGCGGTATAGAGGAGTCACATGCATGTGCTCGTACCTGGCACCTGCAGCTCACGTGCTGAAGTTAACTGCTTTGTCTCTATTCCACAAAGACAAGAGCAAGATATTCCACAAGATTATGTCAGAAATAGCAGAGTACTAATTTTAAGAGAAACCCTGGTAATGATGATTATAACCCATAATATTTAATTTAAAAGAGTTAGGTAAGTTATTATTAAATGAGTTATTGACAATATTGCACAGAAGGTCAGAGAAACACGTGTTAATCACATGCTTGCGAATAATAAACTGCGACAAAAGCGAATGTAGTGTCGCAGAAGTGGACAAATAATCAGTCCAGTAAAAACCAAAATGCTTGAAAATATACAAAGATACCTTATATAGTAGGGATAATTATCACCAGATAAGTTAACCAAGTAAGCTATACTGATTTGTCGTTTTATTTCTCTGTTGGTTTCCTTATTAATCCTGTTTTCAAAATTTTATTATTTTAATTAGAAAGTTTAGTTTTACTCCCAATCTTAATATCGTGACTCAAACAACTCTCATCCGAATATGAATATGGAATTTGTATGTGTGATTAAGAATTTGAGATTATAAATATTGGTTGTGCTCTTGAATATGTGGATGCATGAGATGTAGTGTCATGAATCCTTTTCTTTTATACAAATTGTAAGTTACTAGTTTCTAAATGATTTGTAAACCCTGAATCTTTTGCTAATTCAGTTCGATGTCCAGTCTCGTTTTGGAAATACTATGTTTTGACACGATCTTTTGTCCACATTGTTTTCAGTTAACTTATGTGTGAGGATCCTATGTTCGGTACATATTTTGTGTTTTAGATATCTATGCATTTAGACCGAGAATTCACTAGCCACATTGATGAGATGCAAACTAAATTTTCCACAATAATAAAAAATTAATCTTAGAAAACAGGAGTGAGGAGCCAAACATTCCATTTTTCATAAAAAGACTCCGCCGAGAAACTATGAAAAACACACTGGTACAACAAAGCGAACGAAAGTCAAAAAGCACATCGGAGCGAAGGGGAAGAGAGAGAGAGAGAAAAAATATATGAAGTAACCGAAACCCTAATCCACGACATAAATCGATGATCCTCGTTGCTTTTTTCGTTATTTTACGCGATATAACGAGAGGTGATGTTCATTTCACCTAAATGACCATGGGGGTAACAATAAGAGCCGTGATCATATCCTTGGTGTTGGTGCCAGAGTGCGTGTAGCCATCATAGTCCTTGTAGAGCGTATCCATGTTCTTGGCGAAACGGAGAAGCACCATAAGAAGTTGTACGGGTACATTCGGCGGTGGGTCCAACAGCTCCTCGTTCATTATCATCCAGTCCTCTTCAATGAAACCGTCCACCGCCTTGGCCGCCTCTCGTTGCGAGACGTCGTACTGCTTCATGTAACATTCCAGCAGGGTAGCCTTCTTTTCTTTCTCGTCCTCTTTCAGCATCGACATCGACAAGTCGTGGTCCGAAGGGTCGGTCGAGTCGTGCACCATGTTGTCGGCAATGTCGTCCTGGAGACGACACTGGTCGGTTGCAGCGATCAGCATGGCCGGTTTGGAGAGCAGCCACTCGAAGGCGTCCTTCGAGACCAAGTCGTCGCCCAATCCACAGAGGGCGGAGTAAGCTATCCATTCGTAACAAGTGGTTAAGGATGAAACCTGTCGATACTCCTCCACCGTCGCCACGTAGTCTTTGTCGGTCCGTTTTTCTTCCTCCAAGTACAACCTTACTACATTGCCAACCTGCAGCGTACACCGCAAACGTACGTACGTTATTGGATTTTTTATTGATCGTACGTAGTGGTAAATAGGTAAATAGCTTAGTTTGGCCCCGCTGTAGCTTTTGCGGAAGCCGCTTCTGGCGGTAGTTTTTAGATAAGTACTTTTCAAAAAAAACAGTTTAGTGTTTGGCTGTAAAACTATTAAAAGTGCTTTTTAATATGAGCGGTTGTGTAAAATGACTATAAAGGACTTATAATATAAAATAAAAATAAAAATTTTAAACAATAAAAAGTAGTCAAAATGGATCTTGTTAGATTTCTTTTATATTAAATAATATGATTTTATAATTTATTTTATTTTTAAAATGATATAAATGAAGGAAAATTATATTTCCTGAAATAAAATTAAAATATGGTAAGGATAATCTTGTATTTTCAAAACAGCTTTTCGCTAAACCTCCAAATCGGAGCTTCTGCTTTTATGTTATACAAAAGCGCTTTTCTGCTTTTCAAAAGCCAAGCTTTTAGAGGTGTTTGACTCTATCTGCCAAAGAAAAACCGACGAACAACAAAAAAAAAAGAAAAAAAAAATGAAAGAAGCTCTCGCCTCTCTCATCGTCTTTGTCGCGGCTGCCCTGATTAGGGTTTTGAAGACGGTGGTGCACTGGGCGCCGAGAAGAGTAAAAATCGGCGCCGTGCTTCCATCGAAGTCCAGGGAAGAGGTGATTGACGAGGATCGTGACATCGGGTCTCCTAATTGGGGAGGAACAGTGGTTAATCGTCGAGTTAGAGAAATCGACTATTTCTCGCGGTATATTCAGATTCGCAAATCGGGGAAGATAAACCCGAATCGAGAATCCGTCCAGAGTACGGTTCTCCGATTAGCTCCAGAATGGACCTATATAGTCTCTCAGGCGAGACTGGGAAACGCACCAACAAAAGCTCGGTGCTTCCAGTGGTGGCGTTTATATTGGCGACGAGAGGTTCCAAATCGTTGGTGGATTTATTCGAGAGGTATGATTCCAATCCTTATAGTATCATGGTTGGGCTTTCTGGGTACCATTTTCATACCGGTGTTGGTGATTTTCGGCCTAATCTGGGGTCTCTACTGGGGTATCCAGCGGCTCTTTTTCCAGAAAATGGCGAACCCTGGTGATGTCCCTGCTGCTCAGGCGAAGGTGGTACTACCTGCGGTGATGGGGTCGGGCTCTGGTGGTGTCTCTGATGATCAGGTGATGGCGGTGCCGACTGAGATGCAGGTGACCGGAGAAAAAGAAACAGAACAACAGGTGGACGCGATGAAGGTGGATGAAGTGGCTGCTGGGATCCAAGCCATGGCAATGGATCAGGTTGTTGAATTTTCGATGGATGATGTGGCTACAGGGGTGCAATGGGCCAAGATGAGCCTACTAGGCAGATTGTTTATGGATAACCCGCCAAGCTTGGCGGTTATCAGCAAGATAGTGAATGGAGAGTGGAATTGTGCAGTGGAGGTCAGAGTTTTGGCGGCTGAAATGGGGCTACTGCAGTTCTTTTTTGCAGATGAGGCAGATCGAGATTGGGTGCTGCACAGGACTCCTTGGACAGTGAAGGAGAGGGTTCTTCAACTGAAACCTTGGAGCCAGATCACCAAAGCTTTAGTGGATTCCTTCACAATGGTCCCATTCTGGGTTCAAATGTGGGGAATTCCCACTCATTGTCGGACGGTCGCATTTGGGAAGAGAGTGGCAGGGGCGAAACTTGGTACGGTGATGGAGGCGGGTGCTTATGCAATCCAAGGCATGCCGGGACACTTCATCAAAGCCAAGGTGCTGCTCAATGTGATGCAGCCCCTCCGATCACAGGTGTATGCTAGTAATCCCCTTGCTGGCGAGTTTTGGGTGACATTGGTATATGAGTTCCTGCCGATGCTGTGTTATCACTGTGGCAGGCTTGGACACATCGCGCCGAATTGCTCGTTCCCAGACCCAATTGGGATTGAACATTACGGCCCGGAGCTCACTACCGAGGTCATTGGTTATCGAGTAGAGGAAGCTGCTTTTATTCCCCAACTCTTGAGGCCTCCAATTCAGCCTTCTGTGTGGGTGAACCCACGAGCTGGTGGCGTTGGACAGGAGGGACGAAAACACAAGAGGGGCGAGGAGATGGAGGCGATGCTGGCTGAAGAGGATGACAGGACTGTGGTGTTGGGGCTGCCGGCAGTTAAGCAGGATGTGCAGGAGCAGAAATTGAGGGCTCACCAAGGTAAAATTAATGCTAAAACAGAAGGTAGAAATCAGGGAAGTGGAGGTAATGCTGGAGGTCATGGTGTTGGGGCAGGACGTGGCCAAGAACCAAAACATAAGAGTAAGGGAGGGCAGGGGAATTACCTTGCTTATCACAAAGGGCAGGGTGTGGAAGATAGAGTCTACTTGTCTCACAACCGTGGAGGCTTTGTGCCTCATGCTGGGGGAAGAAAAGCGGACAGCAACCATGGCGGAGGGAAGAAGTTTCACCCGAGGGGTGCTGGACCTCAGCTGCAGAGCAGGCAGTCCAATGAGCCGAGGCAGCAGCCCAACATTCCAGGTGGGGGCAAACAGAAAGGTAAAGAGGCTTTTCGCATGACTGCACCAGACCCGGATGAAATTGAGGAAAGGAAGAGAGCTGCTGGAGAGGTGGAGGGGCTGCAGTTTGACCCAACGCCAGTGAAGAAAAAATGTGTGGAGAATACGGTGGAGGAAACCAGCCAGGAATGGTCCCAGCCCAATAAATGAAGTTAATAGCTTGGAACGTGAGGGGTATAGGGCCATCCCTTACGTTTCAATCGTTACTTGGTCTTTGTAGGATGAATAAGCCAGATGTTGTTTTCCTTTCGGAAACAAAATCGTGTAGGCGCGTAGTTTCTCGTAGGATGAGAGGTCTCGGTTTTCAGCATTTTTTCCTTGTAGATGCGGTGGATGCGTCGGGAGGGTTGGCTCTAGCGTGGGAGGTTGGGGTCAATGTTTCCATTGTTGAGCATTCGAACTTTTTTATTTCTTTTGGTATTAATAATAATAATGGCTCTTTTGATTATGTGTGTGTGTGCGTGTACTTTTCCAGTGACTTGGCCATTAGACAGCAGCAAACTAGTGAGTTACACCTCTTTTGTGATAATTTGGATGTTCCTTGTATGGTCTTGGGGGATATGAATTGCGTGATGGACGCATCAGAAAAATCTGGCGGGTTACCATGGGACCCAATTAAGGCGGCAGGGGTGAGGGACTTTACTAATGCGCTGGCTTTGCAGGATGTTGGTTTTTTAGGTCCGCTATTTACATGGTCTAATAGACGCATGGGGGCGGCTTGTATTATGGAACGCCTTGATAGGGTTCTCGCTTCTCCATTATGGATGGAGAAATTTCCACAAACGGTGGTTAAACATTGTACGGACCTTGGGTCCGATCACAGAGCGCTCTTGGTGGCTGATAAGCCATTTGCAAGGAAGACGAAACCTTTGTTCCGGTTTGATGCGAGATGGACCGAAAATCCGGAGACAAGGTTACTGGTGAATTATGTCTGGAGCCAACCGTACTCTGGCTCGCCTATGTTTCGATTGTGGCAACGCCTCAAATCTCTTCGCCACCTATTGTATGATTGGAGTCGTGCGGGCACGACGAATTCGGCTCGGAACATTCGTATATTACAGACGGAGATTGAGGCGATAAAAGGTGAAGGAAATGTGGACTGGGAACGAGTAGTGGAGCTTGAGAGAGAATTAGCGAGGCAATGGGTGAATGAAGAAATCTTCTGGCGACAAAAATCGAGAGTGCAGTGGCTGAGTGCTGGGGATCAAAATTCTGGATATTTTCATACGGTTACAAGAACCAGGCGGAGGAGAAATTTCATAGAGGGGCTAAAGAATGACGATGGGATTTGGGTGACTGATGAAGGACAAAAGGGCGAGGTGGCATGTGGCTTTTATGATCATCTGTTTCGTTCAGAGAATCAGATACAGGATATGATGGCGCGGGTGTCTGAGCTTCCAGTCCCTGCCTCTGTCACTGAGGAGATGAACAGAAGTTTGACAGCGGAGGTCACAGCATTGGAAATCAGGAGAGCGGTATTTGATATAGGAGCTACCCAGGCGCCTGGATCTGATGGATTCACGGGCAAATTCTATCGTAGTTATTGGGACATTGTGGGTCCGGATGTGGTGGAAGCGGTCCAGTCATTTTTTCGATCTGGTAGAATGCTGAGGAGTTTCAATCATACGTGGTTGACCTTGGTTCCTAAGGTGGAAACAGTTGAAACGATGAAGCAGATTCGACCGATCAGTCTCTGTCAAGTGTTTTATAAGATTATTTCAAAAATCATGGCGGAGCGAATGGCCATCATTTTGCCTTCAGTTATCTCACCGGAGCAGAATGGGTTTATTCGTGAACGTCAGATAGTGGACAATGTTCTGATCGGGCATGAGATTATGCACTATCTTAAGATTAAAAAGCAGGGGAAGAAAGGGTACTTAGCTCTAAAGGTTGATATGGAAAAGGCCTATGATAGAGTTGAGTGGTCCTTCTTGCTTGCTTTAATGTCTAAGATGGGGTTTAGTGCTCAATGGATTGGGTGGATACAGGAATGTGTTTCTACAGCGTCATTCTCGGTAATGATGAATGGTACCCCGTCTGGGTATTTTAGATCGACGAGGGGGTTACGTCAAGGAGATCCTCTGTCTCCATTATTATTTGCCATTTGCTCTGAAGGATTTGCGGCACTGATTAGAAAGGCGATTCAGACTAGGAGTTTAGTTGGAGTCAAGGTTAATCCCCAGAGCCCTAGTGTGTCTCATCTTTTCTTTGCGGATGACTCATATCTTTTTCTCAGGGCTTCCAAGACTGAGTGTGAAACATTACTTGGTCTGTTAAGGGAGTACCAGGAGTTGAGTGGTCAGAAAGTAAATTTGAGCAAGTCTGCGATTTGTTTTAGTGGGAATGTGGATCCCCCGGAGGCAGAAGAGATGGCAGCCATTTTAGGAGTGGGAGCGATTGGTGTTCAGGACAGGTACTTGGGTCTTCCTTCTCTAGTGCAGAGATCGAAATTGGAAACGTTTCGATACCTTGAAGAGAGATTATTGGCTAAGCTCCAAGGATGGAAGCAGAAGAAACTGTCGTGGGCAGCAAAGGAAGTATTGTTGAAGGCGGTGGCTGCGGCCCTCCCGATCTATGTCATGTCGTGCCTCCTGCTACCAGTGACTCTTTGTCGTAAGCTGGATAAGTATATGGCGCGGTTCTGGTGGGGATTCTCAGGAGAGAAGGACAAGGCTCATTGGGTGTCCTGGCGTAACCTATGCAGGAGCAAATTTGATGGCGGTCTGGGGTTTCGACGATTCGAGAATTTTAACCAGGCGTTATTGGCAAAGGTAGCCTGGAGAATTTGGAAGGAGCCGGATTCGTTGCTGGCAAGGGTACTGAAAGGGAAATACTTCCCCCGAACATCTATTCTTACAGCAACACGTAGGTCGAGACCTTCATGGGGTTGGATCAGTATTTTGCATGGAAGGGACTTGCTTGTCAAGGGTCTTGAGTGGCAGATTGGAGTAGGCTCACAGGTCAGAATTAGGGAGGATAACTGGATCCCGGGTATTAGTCCGGCGGAGCTGGAGGTGAAGGCCTCGGCTCCGGATCTGACAGGAGTAATGGTTAACTCGCTGTTGGTACCTGGCAAGGGTGAATGGTGTTTGGAATGCTTGGACCAATGCTTCCCTAGACCGATAGTGCAGGCTATTCAGGCTATACCACTGCCGAGGGGTGGGGTGGAAGATAGCCAGGTCTGGACCGGTGAGGGGGATGGGGAGTATTCGGTGAAGTCGGGGTATCATTTAGCCTTTAAATATGCTAGGCAGAGTCAGGAGTGGAAGACTGAGGTGTCATTTTTTGATATGAAGTGTTGGAAGAAGCTCTGGGGACTGCCCATTCCGCCAAAGTTGAAGTGCTTTCTTTGGCAGAGCATGAAGCGGATCCTTCCTACTATGGAGACGATAACTGAGCGGACTGGTAGAGTACCTGGGGAAGAGGAGCCTGATGCGGGAGAAGATGTCGTCGATCCCAGGTGCCCGGTCTGTTGGGCGCCGTTGGAGACTTTGGAGCATATGTTTCTTTCTTGCAGGATGGCAAGGATGCTCTGGGAGAGGTCGGGTCTGGAGGAAGAGCTTGTGAGGGAGCCTCCGTTGAACTTTGCTATGTTCCTTCGCCGCTCTCTTTTTGAGCAGGAGGCCAGTGAAGAGAGAACAATCCGGTTTGTGGCAACTCTTTGGAGAATTTGGAAGAGTAGAAATTGGGTAGTGTTTGATCATGTTCAGTATGGGGTGAGTGCGCTGGTGAGGCAATTTGAGGAGCAGGTCCGTGAGTGGTTAAGTCTGGCTGAGGATGGGCGGAATAGAGGGAATCGGGGGATACAGGGAGGGGTTGCGAATTGTGTGGCTGGTAGATCTCAGACTGCTATGCCTTATCGATGCTATGTGGATGGTGCTGTACGTGCTGGCTCACATGGTGCTGGTGGCTTGGTGGTCTATGATGGGGTGGGGAGGGTATGTTTTGTGCAAGGATTTTCTTATGCAGGTCTGGAGGATCCGTTTCTGGTGGAACTGGTGGCGTTTCGTGATGCAATTCGGTGGTGCTCTATGAAGGGACTAGCTGAAGTGCAATTCTGTGGGGATGCGAAGGTTGTCATTGAGAAAATTCAGAGGATGGATGCTCGGGATGTGAAAGGAGGCCGGATTTTTGAGGAAATTCGGAAGTTGCGGCTGCGGTTCTTGCGTTTGGAGATGGCTTTTATTGGCAGGAGTAACAATCGGGTGGCCCATGAAGTGGCTAGGAAGACCCTTTCTTTGTTGCCTGCAGTTGTAGATACTTTTGATTTTGTTCGTTGGTTTGTTCTTGAGTTGTAAACTGTTCTAGCTGTTTGCCTTGGTAATACAAGTGATCTATTGGTAAAAAAAAAAAAAAGAGGTGTTTGACTCTGCTTCAGCTTTTGAAGTCGAAAAGCACTTCTAAAAACCGGGCCAAACATAGGCCTAGTTAGTTAATTACCGCACGTTTCCCGTAGTCCAAATACCAAAGCCCTCTTTCCTTCCTAGTGTTTGACTCAATTTCGGCATAAATCCCTGCGATGCCCTCGAAAAGGACCATCATGTAGTGTTTCAATTCTTCCCTGCTACAATCCCACCTGTATTGATTCAACCAATCCAATTACAACACTACAATAAAAGTATAAAAAATGCCTCGTTTGCGTCGTGGATTTGAAAAATGAAGGTTTTGGTATAACTTGGGTTTTGAAAAACCATGGATATATGAGGATTTTAGATTCATTATGCATTTGATAAACACCATTGTTTGTTTGATGGATTTCATGATGGATTTTGTTAATTAAATTTGTATGTATGAAGTGTAATTTACTTTTATTGCCCTCAGTGATATAAGAAGAGAAAGCAAACATGAATGGTATGTTGGTAAAAAAATGATGGACTTCAAAGTCCACAATCAATTCCCACCTAAATAGGTGGAACTTTCAAGTCCGTGGGGTCCATGGATTTGGTACCTTAAAGTTTGTGGGACCCACGGATTTGTTTCTCCTAAATGCATGAAGCAAACAATGGATTTTGGACAAAGTCCATGATGGATTCAAATTCCTCACCAAATCCATCACCAAGTCCATCAAGCAAACAAGCAGGGTAGTTTGCTTCAAGGATTTTATAACGAGGATTTTGTCATGGATTTGCTAATTAAAAACCTTGGGATTTATTAGGGATTTTGGGCATTATGGATTTGAGGAAATCTTTTGTTTGTTGAGCTATTTTTATCATGGATTTGATGGTTTTTTCAGTTTGTCTACAAATCCCAGGTTATGAGGTGAGATTTATAAAACCGTGGGTTCCATGGGTTTGGAGGGGGAAAAAAACCCAAATCCGTGGGGTTCATTGATTTATCTAAACTTTTTTTGACAAAGCAAACAACGGATTTTGTGTAAATCCATGATGCAAATCCTTGAAGCAACCGACCCCTAAATTTCTTTCGTCGCAAATTCTTTATTAGGCGACGCGGTATAAGCGACAGACAGACGAAAATATGCGTTTTTGCAACAGACCGTCGCGAAAAGTACTGTTTTTTTTTTTTTTTGGTAGTGCGAAAGTCTTAGCATGAATGGTTAACCATATAATTTAGACATACCTAGCAATGGCAGTAGTGAATGTCATGAACCAGTTGCTCCCAATAACTCGAGTTGTTGGGAGAGGTTCAATCGTGGATCATATGCCACAACACTAACAGTGAACAGCTCGAGTTCCTCGATGCAACCCTGGTTATCGAATGTGTCATCCATGAGCGTGCCGAATTGAGTCGTTTTGGCGGCCAACTGTCTGGCCACGGAATACTTGGGCTCCCACAGTCCTCCCAAAGCCCATAAATAGCTCTCCACCAGCTTGTCTCTTGCATACGGCAGGTTCGTTGGAGTATCCAACTTCAGCCACCACCTGAAAATCATCCATTCATAAGGTAAATCATAAAGAGAAGATATATAAATTCGGCATAATAAATTATGGACGTTGTTACAAGTGAACTTACTTGGTGAGAGTTCGCAGCTCGGACTGGTACAAATTCTGCAGCACGTTGAAGTTCAACTTGGCCAGTCTGAGGAGGGCTGGGTCGTGGCACGCGAGCTTCTCATAAAACGAGATGAAAAACAGGTGCTCGCACTTATCTGTCACCTTGCGAAGCGGCCTTTTCAGAGCACGAGCGATTCGGCCTGCGAGAGGGGACTCTAACTCGGCAGCTTTTGCAGTTATTAGATGTGACTTTGCGAACTCAATAGCTTCGTTCAATACACCCTCTCCTTTGACCCTCAGATATCCAGCTTCATACAAGTTCAGCATCCCTTCAATATCATTCACCAGCTCTTCCTTGAACCCTCCTCCTTCCGTCTTGAATTTGTTGAACACATCTGTGCATATATAACATGACACCAAATGTGTTAGTGATTGACCGATCGTGCGTCGATCGATATATATGTTACCAGACAAAACAACATATCATCAGTCGTTTTAAGTATGGATACGTATACCACTTGAGACATTGTAACCGTGTTGCCTCAGTAGTCTGAAACGGAGAGCGACGGTGTTGAGATCATCGTCAATATTGTTGTTTTGACGAACCTGTCGCATGACATGGTCGATTTCTTCCTCGAAATGATAGTCGAGGCCTAGTCGCTCAACTACATCGATGAGGTTCAGCCTTTCTGCTAAATGGTCTATCGGAGCTGATAATCTCCTCTTCACATCTGGCTTCAGCACTTCGATTTGTTCCTCCCAAGCCTTCACCACCTACATAATATGTATACATGTCACTAATTAGCAACAATAATTAACACATAGGTTCAGCAGCTAATTAAACCTAGCTAGCTAATTCATCATGGCTTCTTATACATTAATTAAGGTTACCTCATCAGTTTGTGGGACGTGGGTCAGGAAGAAGTCACCCCACACAGTTGGGTCATAATCCATAGTTCGCCGGTCAGAAGCGCTTTTAGGTGCGGCGGCGGCGGCGGCCATCTCTTCTCTTCCTCCTCTTCTTTTTGGGGCAAAGCAGCAGTGACCAGAAATTGTAAAGGTACCAAGTTAAAAGAACTATGCAAGTTGTTCTCTGCCACTTGCTATATATATAGCCAAACCGCTCCCCTTGTCACATATATTTTTTTATGTTATCTGTTAATAAAATGGTATATGATCCACGATTGAATCTCTCCAAATAACTCGAATTATTGAGATCAACTGGTTCTTGACATGGTATCAGAGCTTTCTGTGATCGAGAGGTCGTCTTTTGTTCGAATCCCGATATCCCCATTTGTTTCTGTTAAGCACATGGTGTCCTGTTCGGACCTGTGCAAACTTCAAGCCCGTATATGGTGGCTTTCGTTTGAGAGGATGTGTTAATAACTGGTTCTTGACATCATCCACGTGAGAGAGTGATATATGATTCATAATTAGTCTTATCCTAACAACTCGAATTATTGACATCAACTGATTTTTGGCATAGTATCGGAAATGATTTGATCAAGTAAGTAGTTGTATATGTTGAATCTCCGGAACACTCAATACTAAAAGTTGATTAAAACACATGAATAGTAGGCTTGTGCCAACTTGGTAATTATATATATATGTTAATCTAATCTTGTTCGCTCTACCGCGAAGCCTTGTCTGTAATTATGTGCATAACTTGTTGCTTGGATCTTTATGAAGGGTTAATGTGGTAGGTAAGAAAAATAGGGCATCATAAAGATTTTGAAGCGAAAGAGATCCAGCGTGACAACGGACCGGAAAATGACACCTTAGAATGAAGCCAAGGAGTAATGCTAATATGCTATCCACGGGAGAGGATAGGGCCGGTGACAAAGCTGCGGCGAACCCATTCATGAACACGTGTCAGCCAACAAAATTTTTTTTTAAAAAAAAACTATTTAGATACAACTTACAAGCATCCTAAAATTGAAAGGGGCGATCACGTAGTTTTTGGTCTGTAAAGATAAGTTTGCTAGGTGCTCCATTTTATCTTTCCATTAAGATCAAATCTAAACCTGTACTCGAGAGATAGGAGTCCATACACTAATAAGAGATGGTGATTCGTCTATTTTTTGGGGGAATGTAATTCTTGGGTAGGCTATGGGACGAGACGAATATCAGCCGCCCGATACGAACAAAGCAAAAGATCCTACTTATGTGTGGGACATGAACCTGAGACAGAGCATGTACTCTCTCTCTACTGTCTCAATATTTGTCAGGTGCTCTTACCAAAAAAAAAAAATTGTCAGGTGTTCTGCGTTCTGTAAAACTCACTTTACACCGTCCGATTCACCTACTCTACTTTTTATTCGACGGTCCGGCTATCATCGTACATTACACCAGCTGTTCTTCAGGACCAAATTAGCTCGTTCTTTTGTGAAAGCAAGCTAGTGATCTCCCTGATCAGTAGGGATGTCAATCCAACCCGTAACCATGGGTACCCTACCCGACCGTAACCGGTCAACGAGGGTAATTACCCGCTTTGACGGGTTAAGGGGCGGGTACGGGTAATACCCGGTTTCAAAATAAAGGGTAGGGTACGGGTATGGTAATTGATAATACCCGCCCCGTTATACCCGCCCCGCTAACCAAAGGGAGTCAATTTCCCTTGAGAAATTTAGTTTAGCTTGAGAAATTTAGTTTAGCTACCATTATTGATGATGAAGATGTAGACGATTATTATGTTTGTGTGAATTGTAGAAGCAAGAACAATTATTATGTTTGTGTGGATTGTAGAAGCAAGAGCAATTATTATGTTTTTGTTGTTTTTATTTGTGTGGATTGTTGAAGCTAGAACAATTAGAAGTATTGAGAATTTTTAATGGACAACAATATGTATGTGCATATATGTGTATAAGTTCATAGTTTAGGATTCATACTCATGGTTACCCGAATACCCGTGGTTACCCGGTGGGTAGGGTATGGTTATATAATTTTCATACCCGGTGGTTATTTGGTCGGGTATTTTAGAAGGCTCTACCCGGCGGGTTAGGAGTTGGTATAGGGTAAACCCGCACCCGACCCTACCCATTGCCATCCCTACTGATCAGTGATCTCCCTTTGATTTTATTTATTTATTTATTCAAAAAAAGATCTCCCTTTGATTCCCTGATTATATCTAAAGTCCGCCGGTAGTACTCGAAAAGACGTCCACTACATGCAGCTTTTTTTTTTTTTCATTCCAAACCCAAACAAGGGGAGCACAACGATTACAATAATGGAGCGACAAGGTTGGCAACAAGAATCCATTCAGGAGGAAGGAGATCAAGGCGAGAGTTCCTAGCGATCCAATCAGCAAGCTTATTGAGTCGACGAGGAACAAACTCCACCGTAATCCAAGGAGAAACACAGAGAATGGAAACCACACGAGCAAGAGATGCCCGGCACTGCCAAGGCCAAAGACTCGGATTCTGTCTCAACGCATTCGTCAACCTCTGACAATCGGATCAGACACACGTTGGTACAGGGTCCTGGGCCGCCCAGATGACTGCATTAAGAATCGCAAACGCTTCCGCTTGTAACGGAGAAGAACAAAAGAAACGCTCAGCCTTCCCGTCGATAACCTGACCGTGGGAGTTTGCAATAGCAATCCCATAAGCCGCCACCTGTGCATCAGAAACAAAGGAACCATCACAATGCACAACCTTACAGAAAGGACCAGGCGGTGATAAGGTCGACGATCGAGAACTCCCAGGCTGAGAGGACAATCCAGCTGGACATGAGGAGAGATGAGCTGAGGATCCGATCCTAGCTTCTTGGACATTTAAACCATCACGTTCGGCTAAAATTGCCAAAGAGGGCGGAGAGAACGCCCGACTCTCAAATACCCACCCATTTCGAGCAATCCAGATATTCCACAGTGAGCACACAATCCTGGTAATCTGGCCAACAGGGGCTCTATCCTTGAATCCAAAGAACCAATCCACAAAGCAAGAGTCAGCCCCAGGAAGCACATTCTGCAGCCCAAGTTGAGACCAAGTCTGAAGAGCCTTTGGGCATTGAAAGAAGCAATGCATAACCGTTTCCTCGTGGTCCTCACAAAGAGGACACAAAGGGTTAGGAGCACACTTGCGGCCAAACAGCCTCGCTCATGTTGAAATAGCATTTTTACCACATTTCCAAATGAAGAAACGAAGCTTAGGAGGCAACTTGAGACCCCACAACCACTTCCAATCGTCTCTGTTAGGTCGAGCAGAGGGGGTCACGTCATTAACCACAGTTGAATCACGACTCTCTCGAAACATCTGATAGGCAGACTTTACACTGTAGCAACCTGTCTCCGTACACCGCCAGATCCAGCTGTCCTTTGCAGTACAGGGACCCACCGGAACCCGGGCAATAGCCTGAGCAATCTCCTCAGGCACCAGATTACGTATGGCATCCATTTTCCAGCTACAAGAGTCGCGGTCAATCCAATCACTAACTTTTGATGGCTCTAAGCCCAAGTGAGACAAGTTGAAACACGGAATGGAGGGCAGCCAAGGGTCACAATGGAACCAAGAATCCTCCCCAGACATAATACCTCTTACCAAACCACTCTTCATCTTCTCCTTTGCCTCACACAACCCATTCCAAATCCAGGATCTCTTTCGCCCCTTCGTTGCCGAGAATAGCTCATCATTTGGGAAATAAAGTCCTTTCAGTAGCTTAGCCCACAAAGCGTCGGGGTTATCAAACAGTCTCCAAACCTGCTTTCCAATGAGCGCCAGGTTGAAGAGATGGAAATTCTTGAAGCCCAATCCTCCTTCTTCTTTAGGTTTTTCCAACTCTCTCGCATTGCACCAATGGATAGCTCTTTTCCTCGTTGAACCCGACCAGAAGAATCGTTTCAGGATTGAGTCCATTTTATTCGTTAGGTTCAGAGGCAGCAAGAAAACACTCATGATATAGGTTGGTAAAGCTTGGATAACTGCTTTCAGTAGTACTTCTTTCCCTCCGGGAGACAACAAAAGACTCTTCCAAGAATCACCTTTCTTTTCCATTCGTTCCAGCAAGAACCTGAAAGTTTCTTTTTTTGATCCACCCCACTCTGTTGGAACCCCCAAGTATTTGTCGTGACAAACAGTTGGCGGAAACCCAAACTTACTGCTCACCAGCCCGCGGATAGCTTGGGGAGTATTTTTGCTAAAGAAAATTGACGACTTAGACGCATTGATTTCCTGCCCCGTAGTGTTACTATACATGTTAATGATATCCAGAATCCTATACGCTTCCATAACACTAGCCTTGCCGAAGATGACCGTGTCATCCGCAAACAGACAGTGTGAAATTCTTGGGCAGTCCTGATTGAGCTTGACCCCTCGGATTTCACCCTTCTCGATACCCTTCTCAATAAGGAGAGACAGAGCATTGGACATAAGGATAAACAAGAACGGGGAAATGGGATCACCTTGCCGGATACCCCTAGACGGCAGGAAAGGATCCGAAGGGCTTCCATTAAGAAGAATAGAAAACTTGACTGTCCTGATACATTCACGAATCCAACCCCTCCATTTTTCCGAGAACCCATAGGCCAACAGAATAGAATCAAGACCATCCCAATCCACTAAATCATAAGCTTTCCTCATATCCAGCTTCACCATCATATCCCAGTCACCAGTTCGGTGGTTTTTGAAATTATGCAGCATTTCATGAACAATAATGACATTATCCTGGATAAGCCTCCCACCTGTGAAAGCAGCTTGCATCTCTGAGACTAAACCCGGGAGCCACTTCTTCATTCGACTCGCCAGAATCTTGGAAATAATCTTATATCTGAAGTTGCAGCAGCTAATCGGGCGGAATTGAGAAATCGTCTCCGGAGCCAGAACCTTGGGTATAAGAGCTATATGAGTATCATTCCAGCCCTGAGTCATAATGATAGACCGTTAGTTACACATGTTTTTACCCCTGCTCTTACTCCGTTTGAGGTATTGATTCTCGTGTTTTAGGCCGATTTCACGCTAGGTTGTGCTTGTTTATGATATTTCAGGTCCTAGTACGTGAATGGAGGCTTGGGAGCGAGTTTGAGGTCGATTGGACGAGGATCGAACGCATGGCGAGGTTCTGAGGAAGTCGCACGGGCA